ACAGGGCCAGTAAAGAGATCTGGTCTTACGTGTTCCTCACACCCATATGGGTGCCTTCAGCTGCCTTCTAAAATGGCCTCAACCCTGGGGCACCGATTGGGGAAATAGGGTAGTTCCTGGCTGTATGAGCTTCGCTTTTTTTCGAGTTTTCATTTCTACAAGATCTAGCGAGTCCTCCCTCCCTGTCTGTTTCACTTGAGGGGCTGGTAAGATCTCGGGAGAGAGCGGCGACTCTTTTTTCTGCTCGATTTGTGGCCCAACTCGAACTCATCGGCAGCGGAGGCTCTTGGATAGCCCAGGACGGGCCCCTAATGCGGGTGGCCTCGCTGATGACTACTCGGCTGCAGTTTTCGGGTCCGTTAGCTCAACCCAGGCAGGGTTGGGCTCCGTGGTCCCGGGTGCGAGGCCCGTCGCCAGCCCGGCCGCGGTGCGGTAGTCCGTCCCCCATTGCCATCGGAGCTCTTGAAGAGCTGGAAGCCGATTTGGAAAAAAAAAACCGAGAGGGGTTGAGACTCTTTGGGCAAGTCCGTCAGCCCCCTGACTGGGCCACGGCCGAGGGGCTACAGGCCCCCCGCCCCCCCCGGGGCCAGGAATCCGTGCTTTAAAGTGCCGTGTCAGTATCCCAGCCCTGCGGGGCAGACAGAGGGGTGGGGGGCACTGGCAGCAACGGAGCCTGTTTGCCGAAAGCAGACCCCCGGCAGGACAGCGCCACCTGTTCCTGCTGATGGATATGCACAGCTGTGTGGGCTGGGGGGTGGGGTCTGTCTCCCAGTGTCCGATCCATGTCCCTGTCCCCCCCCCCCCCCCGTCTCCTCTCACAGCACAGGACAGGAGAGCCCTGGTCTTCCTGTCTTTATTTTCCCTGCACCCCTCTGTCCAGTCCACCTCCTCCAACCCCCCCCTTCCCACAGAGCGCAGGGCAAGCGATTCCAGACAGGTGCTCCGGCATTCCCAGCTGTGTCCGCCCACGGTCGGACTTGGCTGGGAATGTCTTGGGCAGCAGCGTGGTGAGGACAGATGCTTGTTCTGCCTTCCTTTTATCTTTTATCTTGTGTCTTCTTACTTATTGTTGTTATCATCCTGTAAAGCGCTTTGAGAAGCCACCTTTAAAGGCGCTATATAAAATAAAGTTTATTATTATTATATTCCTGAAAAGATCGAGTCTTTGCCTTTGTGAGTGGGTGAGGCACTCCGGCGGCGGGTGTTTTTCCCTGGAAGGACAGGGCGGGGGGGTTGGAGCACGCTGAGCGTGGAATGTCTGGCTGTGCTCTTGTCTGGTCATGTTGGATGCGGATGGCGGAGTTTGTCTGCTGTGTGTGGATGTGCGCTGGGGCTCGTGTGTTCGTGCGCAGTACGGCAGACACCCCACACTGTCGACCGGTAAATCATGAGTGCTGACAGTGTGTACAGACAAGAAACGCAAACAGAATCATAAATGTCTGGTAAAATGTTGTCTTTACACACTCTCGCACTTCCTGAAAGTCTCTCGCAC